AAGGCCAGGCACTGCCTCCCTCTGAAACACACCACCGAGCACTGCTCAGCCTTTGCAAACCACCTCCTCTCTCCAGCTACCCTCCAAACACCACCTCCCCCCTGCTGTCTCATATGCTCTTCCTTAAACCTCCAGCTCCGCTCCTTGCATTGACTCTCTCCTTCTTCCATCTCTTTTAGGACTCATTTTCCCAAAAATAAATTGCTTTCACTCTCTGCAAGCCGGGCAGGCAGTAGAGCGAAGGGAGAGAGATGTGGGGCTTTGCACCCCAGGGATGCTCCCAGGGCATCAGACCCAACTGCTCCCCACACTCACCCCTCCTAGGGCTGCCCACCCCTGTGGATCTTCTGGTGCCGGAGGAGCTCAGAGCTCACGGTGAAGCCCTTCCCGCAGACGGCACAGGCGTAGGGACGCTCCCCGGTGTGGATGCGCTGGTGCTGGATGAGGTGGGCACTCTGCCGAAAGCTGTCCCCGCAGTCAGCGCAGGCGTAGGGCCTCTCCCCTGTGTGGACCCGGTGGTGCCGGAGCAGGGCCGATCTCCACAGGAAGCTCTTCCCGCACTCAGTGCACTCAAATGGGCGCTCCCCGGTGTGGAAGCGGCGGTGCTGGATGAGGTGGGAGCTCACGGTGAAGCTCTTTCCACACTCGGTGCATCCATAAGGGCGCTCACCCATGTGGAACCGCCGGTGCTGGATGAGGGCTGAACTCACGGTGAAGCTCTTCCCGCACTCGGAGCACTCATACGGCTTCTCCCCGGTGTGGACCCGCTGGTGCTTCATGAGCTCGGAGCTCTGGCTGAAGCTCTTGCCACACTCCGCGCACTCGTAGGGTTTCTCCCCGGTGTGAACCCGTTGGTGTCGCGTCAGGGCTGAGCTCACGCTGAAGCTCTTCCCGCAGTCGCTGCACTCGTAGGGTTTCTCCCCAGTGTGCACTCGGTGGTGCTGGACGAGCTGCGAGTTCCCGGAGAAGCTCTTCCCACACTCGGCACACTTGTAGGGCTTCTCCCCGGTGTGGGTTACCTGGTGCCGGATCAGCTTCGAGCTCATGCTGAAGCTCTTTCCACACTCAGAGCACTCGTAGGGCCTCTCCCCTGTGTGGATTCTGTGGTGCTGGACGAGATGCGACCGCTGCCGGAAACTCTCCCCGCACTCGGCGCAGGTGAAGGGTTTCTCTCCAGTGTGGATTCTCCGATGCTGGACGAGGTTGGAGCTCACCCGGAAGCTCTTCCCGCAGTCCCCACATATCATCAGTCTCCCCACAGAAGGGTTTCTCTGATGGATAATTTCTGGCAGCCTCCTGAAGTTTTTTCCACGCAGTGTCACTTGGCTTTGCCTCTTGCCCAGAGGTCTCTGAACCCTTTCTGACCTGCATGGGAGGCCTGGGTCCTGTGCAGGACTCTGGGAACTCTTCTCCTTGGAGAGTCCCAAGAGTAAACCCTTGGGCTCCACTGGCCTGGGGATGCCTTGGTGGGCGTTCTCCTCTTTCTCGCTCGCAATCCCATCTTCAGCTGCAATGAAATGAGAATCCAGAGAGAAGTCACAGGCAGGACAGGAAACTTTGGATAGGGGAAATCAAAAGGAGCCAATTCTTAAAATTCAGCAGATTGACTTTAAGTATAAAAAGTTCTGATATTTCCCTCCAAACTACATGGTGGATTTTTCAGTGTTCACAGGAACAAACCCTGAAAATAGCCCTGCACGCTTTGCCAGAACCTGATCTACTGAGATTAGTGGTGTAGCACAGGTAAAAGTTGAGGGCTCGAATGGGTACAATGGTGCTCTCCAGCATATTCTATCTGAAAATGTTATTAGCAGCTGAACTGGGAGTCAGGGGAGAGCCACAAAGAACTGCCTTGTTCAGCAGAACGTTACTTGGGTTGCAACAGATGCAACCTCCCTGCTCTGGTGCTGCTGGTGTTGCAGAGAGAGAGGCGCTGCACAAAGGAGACACTGGCCCTAAGGCATGAGACACGGCGACCGCCCGAAGCCTGGCTTGTACCACTCTTGGAGCAGCAGAAAGGTTATCTTATGCTTCCATCGGCGCAGAACAAATCCACTGTGAAAGGCAGTTGGTGAACTGCAGATCCTCCGTGGCTGATTCCAGATTACGCACTGCGGAAATCCAATAAACGTAGAAGCCGAAGGCAGTGCAAGTGAGTGAGCCAAACAGTTACGAATGGCTCCTGGGGCACGGGCAATGAACAAATTCCTGCCCCCTTGGTCACACAAAGCCTTGCAGAAGCATAACTGGTACAAATCTACGCTGTGCGGACTCAAGGTCAGCTGAAAGCCTGTCCAAGACAAGGGGCTTGCACAGGTTTCTGGGATATTTACACCAGCCCCCTGCTCTAACGAGGTTTGATCCCAGCAGGTTCCAATGCACGTACCCCCACAACACTGTGGCTTTTGCTGTCGGCGAGGAAATGCAGCTCTTTGCAGGCTTACTGGTGGCTTATGTGCTAAATTGGGAAGAGGGGACCTGTGTGGCATTGGGGAAGGGTAAGTGGGTGTCAGAGGGATGCAGAAATGGCAACATGCATCTCTGAAGAGAGGCATCACATCCAGGCTTAAGACAGGTCTATCAGGGAAACAGACTTCCAGATGATCTCTGTATCCAGACTTCCAGGGGTGAAGGATGACTTGCTGTTGACTATAAATAGACCCAAAATATGGAACAGGCCAAGGACTAAAGCCACAAACACGCAGACCTCCAGATTTGCCTACTCAAAGGTTCAACGGCTGCCTCCTGGTTCTCTGAAAACTCTTGTGAAAGAAACCAGTAACACATCAGTTGCGTGGGATTGATGTACGAACCACAGGCATTTCCTGTGGTCTGGCAGCGCTGCGATAAGGGCGCGCATGCCCTGGAAGAGGAGAGTCGCTACTGAACCGTACGTATGTGATAAAAGAAGGAGAGTTGAGAATTTCAACCCAGACTGATACATATACGTATCTATCCTCCTCTTTCTAGTCAGTGTAAGAAAACATCACAATATGATTTCATAGCGAACTCCTGAGATACCTTTTATGGCACTTTGGGTGGTAGTGATGCCACTTCTTCCCTCCTATAGTTTTCATTAAAATCATCCCTTGAAAGGAACAGAAGCTGGAACTTTGCTATTCGCCATGAAGGCATTTCCATTTCTCTGCAGCTACTCCATCCAGGCCTGGAGGAAAAGAGGAAGGTGATATCCAAAGACAGGATAAGAAGAGGACATTTCTGGCAGGCCAGCGTGAAGCTCTTGGCCTGTACGTCAGACTGACTGAAGAGACGATGGAGCTAGTGAAGTTGTTCTGCTGCTGTGTGCCCAAAGAGACATCCTTCACCTACACCAGCTTTGGTGCTTACACAGAATTTTGGTTCTTTACAGAGAACTTGAAAAGGCCTTTGAAGTATACGAGAATCAGGTCTTCATGGTGCTCTGTACTTTTTGGGGAAGGTCAGGAGTTTCAAGCTTCCTATTACAATGATTACAGCCATGGCTCTAGCTCTCAACTTCTAGCTATAAGGCAAGCTCCAGGTACGCAGAGTAAGCACATACATTGGGAGCAAACCTCAATGTCGCCTTAAAAGTACCCTCGGATCTCTCTCTCTCCAGAGAAGCCAGCAGCAGTTTTCACTGACGCTCTGGCCTGTCTCAGCAGCAGCAGGACACAGCAATCGTCTCCGGCACCGAATTCCAGAGTTCACAGACGATAAACCTGCGAGAACTAGTAAAAATAACACACCACCATCATGAGTAAGCCTCAGGCTGCTGGACGATGGCAGACTGTGCTTCTCTTATCCCTCCTGCCCAGTCCCCGAGTCCCTGCGACGGGGCTCGGAGCTGCGTGGACCTTCACTCTAACCCAGCAGGGCTGTCCACAGCACCTCACAACGCTGCTGGACTCCAGACTGAGGCAGCCCACTGTCCAGGGACTGGAAGGTGGCTCATGTGTTGCCAGAGAAGGGGCTGGAGGGGAGCTCTGGCGCCCAACATTACAAGCAAACAAACAGAAATCAGAGCAAGAGAATTAATGGAGAGACAGACAAAGAGGGCAGACTGGGGAGGAGCTGGTGTGGCCTCTGGAAAGAGATGTCTCACTTCACAAACCACTCGGAGTTCTTCTGGGATGTCACCAATGTTAGCAAAAGGGAGATCTGGAGTCCAAAGGCATTCTCAAAAGACATTTGTCCTTCACCAGAACTGATAAAGGAACCAAGCTGCCATGGGGTGGATGACCCTCACTAAGGTGGCAAGGGAGGGAAAGGGGAGGTGGAAACATCTGCTGATGGTTCCATGTTATTCAGGGTTAAAGACACAAAGGCTAACTATAAAGATACCCTGTGGCAGAGCCTTATGACCAACCAGGTGACAAGGGAATGACAGGGGACATTCACTGCCGGCCAACATAAAGAGCTACAGAAGGGAACAGCCTCCGGGACGTGCCTAGGATGTTCTCGGTATCATTCAGGAGTAGCACACTGGAGTTAGAGCAGATGGATGAAAACTGCAGCTCCTAAGCAGACAAAACACGTGGTCAAATGTTCGTGATCGTTGGGAAAAAAGAAGAGAAAAAAAGAGAATGTAATTCTGCTTTGTTGCCCAAAGCCCACATCCTGGCTGTGTGCGACAGGGGGACAGATCCCCCGTTTCAGAGAAACTCTGAATAGAGCAGAGGAAGATCCAGAGGCACGACACGAATGATCAAAGGCACAGAACAGCTTCTGTACAGGAGATGACTCAACTGCCCGTTCTGCTGGGACAAGGTCCAGCTGACAGCAGACCCCACCAAGCACATGTGGCCTGGGGGGTGGGTGGGACCCACAACATCTGTTCTGAATTAAGAACTATCGACCTTAAGTGAACTACTACAAGGCAGCGACTCGTAACCCAGGAGCCGCAGAACTCCGTGCTGTCGTGGATGTGACAGCGTACACAGCTTTAGAAGGTGAGAAAATACACAGAGAGCTGCAAGGCACGGAGCCATCACCGCGTGTCCAGGTCAGGAGTCTCTACAGCCACAGATCGCTGGGCT